CATTACACTTCGTTATCACCTCATGCCAAAATTTTATTTGTAATTAAGCACAAAGCTATACAATGGGCTATCTGTGCTCTGCCTACCACGCGTATTGAAACCCGGTTTCTAGCGTTGTAAGTCCGGAGACTTACTACTGTGCCTCTGGGGGCACCATGCCAAAAACATAACACTCTCTAATAATTAATACAAAAATTTCTAAATTAAAATATTAAAACCATAACCTACAATATTACTATCATGCTAACGTAATTACTGCACCAAAGCGAAATGAAATGGCGTTTTTGTACGGATGGAATACCAATAAAGTATAGCTCCATCAAGACAAGTGGTACGGGTCGTATGTCCGTGTCAACATCAGTTCCTCTGGATTCATGGTATAGTGTCGGTAGTTATCTCCCAAGGACTTCTTAGCTACTCAAATAGGCCTTCAAGTGTTTTTGTATATCCACGATTGATGGATTTTGGAAAGCATGTAAAGTGGAGGGGAAGACAATATTGCCATTAGTGTGATGGAAGAAGGACTTTATAGTCTAGCATTGGTATTTAGATCGTATACACTGTTCTGCACGTATAGTATACACTTGTTGTTGATTGTATTAACAGAAATAAGTAAGCGTAAGATATATAGAATATTCTAATAATGTTCCCATTATATGTGTATTAACCTTTAGTAATTAGTAAACTAATTAGTTCAAAAGAGCAACAGTTTCTACTTAAAAGTGTTGGAATACAATTTATGTTCACAGGACAAAAGTAATTTCGCTCAAAAAAAAATTCTTAAATTCCTAAATTTATATAACAATAAAGATTTCTTTTAGAATATATTAATCCTGTGTAAATTTATCTAAACGTTAAATATCTATTATTGGAAATAATTTTTTACTTTACGCCTTTGTTTAGGTATTTCAGACAATATATACGTTTTGCGCGAAATTCAACAAAACAAACACTGTTAAAAAAGAACGTAAAGGTACAATAAAACGTTGAAAACAAAGAACCTGAGCTCTGTTAATTTTTTTGAGAGACATCTCATTTTTATGCTCAATAATTTTCTCAATAAGAGTTCTGTTAGATTTGTGTTTTATCATTGAATAGACTTAGACTTATAAACCTAGATTTTCAAAAATAACTAAATCTACTGGTTTGTCCAGTTTGTGCATTTTATTCTAGAACACACTTCTTGACTGAGCGGTATAACGTCTTAATAAATTAATTTTGATATTTCTTAGATATGTTTAAGACTAAATAACAGATATGCATAACATTTAGTATTATTTTGTTGGATAATAGAAAGACACAATAATAAACTGTAATACAACTGCAAATCAACTTGTTTTCATAAGGAGGATAATGAAAACTTCATATAGATCAAGTAACTTATTGTATGTGACTGAAACTTTTAGAAATATACCATAATCTGGAGTTACATAAGAAATTTGTTTGCCTGTAACAACACTTCACCTTCTAGCAGTTAGACACATGTTAGTAACGGTACGAAAGCTTATTAGATGCTGCTTTGTTACAGATAAAACTGAACTTTGTAATCAGTGGCGCAGAAACAGGGGAGCCATCTCTCCCCCTAAGATTTTGTAGAGGGAGCAAACGAGGACGGTTACCCACAAGTAGAGGAATTCCTATGGAACCAAAATAATAACGAAATTTCAATTCAAAGATTCTAGATTTCCATCTTGTGTATATCGTACCAATGGAAATTTAATTTATACTAGAAGAAATATAACGAAATAATTATCTTAAAAAGTCTTCTCGCAAGGTTTTACATAAAAATTGCGGCATGCAACTAAAGTCCGAAAAACAATGAATATCATAACCACAATATCCTATGGTTATAAATTGTGATGTACACTAATCGAAATATGTGTCCAAGTTTCAGAATATTCTCTTTGAGTCATATGCATAATTTCTCGTCTTTACGTTTTCACGTATACTTTATTTTTAACTAGTATAAAAGCCTGTCAAAAATGACGGGAAACCAAAGCCTACTAAATTTAAATCCTTCAATATGCATTTGCAACTTTGCCACCCATAAACAGACATAAGAAAAACAAAGGGCCTTCTAACTTCGGGAAACCAAAGCTTATCATGAGCAGTATTTCTTTTACCTAAAGAGTGTCTCTTCCCAGCATCGATCCTTGTCCCAGCATTCGTTGATCACAGTTATTTTCTAATCACATCAATTACATTATTGCAATAGTTCTATTAAAACTACATTTCTTGTAAATACTCGACCATCGTTCAAAAACTTCATAACAAACGGCAAATTAATTTCACTCGGTACTAAATAAATCCTTGGTATAAAAACTCCTTCCTTAACAGGCTTTTATATAGCAGAAAAAGTGCCGAAATTTAGGAGTTATTTACGTCTATCTTAGAGATTGAATTCAACTAAAATGGGAACGAGCAATGAAAAGAGGAAGTATTATAGGAGAAAAAGTGGAATTGGACTTATGTAACTCACGAAATTTGGAGAAATCGAACGTGACAGACCGACTGACCGACCAACAATTGGATTTTATTATTATCATGTTTTACTTTCATTTCCTGTTCTTTACAATTGATTATTTATGTCGACACATGTCAACGGGTACCCGCGGGTATTATAACAATACAAGTGTGTTGGCGACTATGACCTATCATCACCGTCAGTTGGAATCATGTATCTCGCAAGTACAATAATGATAACATGTTTTTACTGAAATGATTTGTCCTACATTATTGAGAAGTACTTTCAGTGTGGTTAAAATATCGTGAATAACTATATATGTATATGGTAATAAAATATAGCAGGCGAAATGGTGATTAAAATGTATCACCTCAGAAATTTTGAGTGTCGAATGTCTAAACGATTATGGTAAGAAATGTGTACAACTGACCATATTTAGTATATTGATAGAGAATTACAAAAGGAGTGAATGAAATAGGTAAAGTGGCGATTAAAACGTATTATCAAATACATCTGATGTCACAAATCTCTGAAATGTATCGCCCCCCAGTAGCACAGCGGTATGTCTGTGGACTTACAACGCTAGAATCCGGGTTTCGATACCCGTGGTGGGCAGAGCACAGATAGCCCATTGTGTAGCTTTGTGCTTAATTTCAAACATACAAACTGAAATGTAATAAAAAATATTTTCACTATGGACACAATTTTTGTGTGTCGCTATAGAATTATACACAACTTCTTATCATATCAGGCTACCCACTTAGATCAGAATTGAAACTTAACCCAGTAAATAATATAGCTAATTTAATATACTGGTCTAACTAGGATATTGCAGTGTCGTAAAACAAAATCTTATAGTAATTAGAATCAATTGATTCATGAGATGGATATCATTTACTCTTATCGATTGTTTCGGCCATAATCCCAATAATAACTCACTATTTTCGAGAAGCTTAGAATATTTAAGAGGTAAGTGAAAAATATTAAATATAATATATAAATATATATATATAATATTTTAATCAATACTGTTGTTAAAACTAACATTAAAGAAACGATGGAATATAATCTAAAATAACATTATATCGGTGATGAAAGGGGATATTTTTAACAACACACATATGATAACAATAACTTATAAGAATGTAAATAAATATTGCTAATAATTGTATTTGGTCAAATAACGACACCATGATAAAATACATAATATATGTGTACTTCAGTAACACACTCCCAGTTCATAATATATTGCTAATATTGTTTCTTCACAAAAAACATTAAAAACAACACTAGGATGAAGATTCAATAAAGGCTTTTTGTGCAATCATCGTTGCTCCTATTTATAATTTGGCAGCAGTAGGCTGTTATATTATTCTTATTTTATTAAACTTTCAACACATCGATTATAAGTTACTTATAATTTATTATTATAACTTTAATTAAAATAATAACAATGAAAAAACATAATATATTACTCAACATTTGTCAGGAATCACATTTCAAAATTAATTTAGAAAATAATTTATTACTAGTAACCAACTGACAGATGTATAGTTATTTCTTTTATATATTCTCAAATAGACATAAAACTCACGTTTGCAAGCATCTGTTTATACAACTATCAAAAACAGCTTTTGAAATTGTTCAGACAACAATAAATAATATGAAAAACATATAAGTAACTAACGTGTCCTTAAAAACCATTTAGCATTGCATGGCATTGTATCTGTATGCTCTTGAGAAGTCTGTGAATTATGTTTTGCTATAGGTGACCCCATTCCTCCACAAGGGCATCTTTCAGCTCATGAAGAGTTATGGGCTGAAAAAGATAGGTTGAAACAGCTTGATGGATGGAATTCCAGATATGCTCAATTGAGTTAATGTTTGAAGTAGACTACTCCATATAGACTGATGTCTGCCTTTGAAGAAATTCCTTGGGCATAGTGTGGGTGACATTGTTATCAATAAGGACGAAGTCACCACCAATAGCAACAGTGTACCTTCTCAAATAAATGTTTAGAATGTCATTACTGTAGTGCACAGCTGTTAAAGAGCAGTTTCAGGACATATGACTACGAAACGGTCGTGTTACCACAGTCTGTGAAGTCAAGATAAAATTTGACTCACCTAAGAAGTCAAATCTCTGCTAGTCCACGTTATGAAGTTTTAAGCCCAAAAATGTATTGTTTTTCTGCAAAGTTGAGTCAACGGGACCCTGATACGGGCTTTCTATGACCAGAAACCAGCCTCCGCGAGTTTATTACAGACACTTTGAATTGATAATATAACACTCGTTGTACTTTCTCAAAAGGGTTCTGGCAAACCTATATGGTTAGGAAGTAGTATTTTTTAACAATGTTCTCTTTCAAGCCACTGTATGTAAATTATGCCACCCGATGATGCCAGGTCAACGTGATGACACATAGTGTATTTACATATTTATTGAAGTAAACTCGAAATCTATGCCATCTAAATTGTTAATATAATGTTTTCTCGAATTACCTTACTATATATACCTTTGTTTGGTGTTTCACAGAAATCATCCAAAGAACAACATATTCCTATTCAACACAGAATTGCAACCTTTTGTCGAGACAGGTCTCTACTGAATAAACTTCAAATTACCGAAACTGAATTTTTTAAGGTGGTGGAATCTGGAGATGTCAGTCAGGTGCAGAAGTTTCTTGAGGTACGTAAATTGTCAACACGAAATAAGACTCTTCTCTTTGCCTAATAAAGTAAAAATGAAAACATAATGTTTGTGAGTAAACAGATCATTAAGTGTTCTTATTTAAGTGTGAAATATCTCAATTAGATCTTATTATTTTTAGCTTTTATGGGCAATTCTGTCATTTTAGAAACGTTTCTAAAGTTTAGGGAGGAATGTATTATACTTTTTTTAAATGTATCGAATTATAAGATAATTTTTCAGGAAACGCCTAAAGTGGACCTGAACAGCACTAATTATCAAGGACTAACAGCTTTAGACATTGCTGTTAAGGCCGAAAACATTAGCGTAATCAGTATCTTGCTTGAAAGAGAATCGCTTGTGATTGGAGATGCTGTACACCATGCAGTGTCTACTGGAAACTACGATATTATCAGACTTTTACTTGATACTTTGCGGTATGTTTCCGATAACTTATAGTGTATAATTTATAAAGATTTATCAATTTTAAATAAGTATAAAAATAAACTCATGAGATAAAACTATGTCATTTGTCATCTATTCGTTAATAAAAACTAAGAAATTAGTGAACAAAATATTATTGTTCTAGGTTACATTTTTATCTAATGTAGAAGTTTGTATCGTTTTTGGCTAGAGGGATATTTTTAATGTCAGGTTTCATTCCGTGGCTTAACTTTTGATGAAAGTTTAGAAAAGGATTTGGATATAAAACGCTTGTTTGACGAGACTGGGTTTGATTGTTTCTTACTTTGTTAGTCTGTAACACTTGTTGACTTTATTATTAAGTTAGCGAGTTTATTAGTTGGTTTCTCAGTTTTGTAACTAAGAAGTTAATGTTTCAATGAAATACTACTTATACAGTTAAGGGTCTTAGAAACGAGAAAATGAGCAAGTAAGTGAAGTAATTTTAGTATTATTGTCATCTACCATGAACTTAGGCTGATCAGTGAACTTTAGTTAAGCTAACTTTATAATTGTAGTCGAAGAAATAAAACATTTTCATTATCATTAAATGGGCCAGATTTTACATTATTATTTAATCAAATACTTCAAAAAACTCGCCCAACAATAGAGACAGTTACAACACTGGTGTTAAAAGAATGATTATTTTGATAAAAATCAAATTAAATCAAGACCCAACTTGATGATGAATATGCAGTAAAAGTGGAACAATTATAAATTGGAAAGAGGAGAATTACAATTACAAGTCAAAATATAAGACTTATAAAACATTAAAAACAAAAATCTATGCCATCAAAAGCAAGATTGAGAAAACTATAGGAAATGAACTTATGGATTACAACTGCAAAACTGTATAAGTATAGACGTATTATAATAATAATATCTAAGAATTATAAAAGAACATCAATGAAATACAGAAAAATAATAACAGATTTGAAGAAGCCATTGTATACATACAGAATAATTATAACAATAAGATCAATGAGGTACATAAAAATATCGTTGCTAGGAACTAACCTGAAGGAATGAACCACAAAACTGAATATATTTCAATTACAAATTAAAAAGATATATCAGCAGGAACAGGAGACAACAGTCTTTAGGAAACAGAAACTGCTCCGGGAGTAAGACAGAAAAGAGAATTACCATTAATGTATAAGACGTAGACAGTACATCCAAGACTGTGATAAATCAACTACTGTTAATAAACCAAGGAGATAATATTGTGAAATAAAAAATAGCTCAACTTTCTCAGTTGAAATAAAGAGTACATTAGTTAAAGAAACCTGTCCATGAATCAATGAATGCATTCATGAGAAGTCTTGCAAACAGACATAGATATCATTATTCTACCTGATCTGGTAATCAAAAGTAGAGACATTGTTTCCAGAGATGAATCAAGAAGAGTAATTGATGTAAAAAAGCAAGGGCAATAAAATTCCTGCAAAAGAAATGTTGAAAGTCTCTCTTACAATGTGTAAATAACTGACATAGAGGAAGAGTGCATATTGGTTATAAACTTCTTGTAGAAGCACAGATATGAGGCTAGACTTGGTTCAGACATTTTCATAATTAATGATAAGAAAATCCCTGTGGATTAAGCAACAGTTACATCAACAAAGACAGAATTTTCAATTACTACAAAAATGGAAGTGTAAGATAATAGACAACCAGCTCAAAATGCAGTGGAACATAATCCAGAAAGACAGGCAGTCAAAACCAAATGTCATAAACTGTAATGGTCCTTTCAAGTACACTGGTGGAATAACAGCCAAACAATTAGATCAGGAAAAACTTCACTAGTAGTAAGTCATCCTTCTGAAGAACTTGTATAATGACAACAAATTAGTTTGTTTCTTTGTAAACATTTGCTACAGACTACTACTACTTGAACACAGTTGTAGGCCTAAGTTCACATTTAATGTTTTCACTTTCAACAGAAAGTATGGTATTACCATTATTCTACAAATAAATTAAATTATAAAATTTTACTGTCAATCAGTTCTCAATATTTCAATACTTCACTGATTCTCGAATATATAATGTTGTACCATTGGTCTTTCATTAAACACATTGTTTAAATTATTTGAGGAAAATACTTTGAATTCCTGTTCACGGAACAATGGCAATTATTTTGTTGCTTAACATTTCTACAAATTTAACTTTGTTGTAGCTTGTAGGCCTAAGTTTATATATGATGTTCAAACGGAAATACCTCGTTAGTGGTACTAAGGCTAACATAGAAATACACTTACTTGTGCAATTTCACGTATAATCGATCAAGTAACTGAATATATGCGATAACTAATACTGTTCCAAATGCTTCACTGATTCACTGTTAGCTATAAACACTTACTTAGTACTTCATTTATTCTCGTACTTATGATCCACTGTCGTCTCTCAATACTCCCCAGATATACTAGATTCTTCACATAAGACTTAGAACAGTCTAGGTATTCTAGGCCTACTTTGATAAACTTGTCTGTCTTAACAAAATATTGTTGCGTCAGCGAGATCACGTGACTAGTATCACGCCACTTCTTTCTCTAACCTTCGGAAGATTACTAGATTGGGGATAGTCTGGTATATAAAAGAGGGCCACAACGTGACGGGACAATGTGTAGGTAGTGAGTAATT